ACCCAATCGAACGATTTACTGAAGAATAAATCGAAAAGTAGAAGAAAGCGTCTAACCAGTAAACGAGAAGACCGAATACTTATACGCGAGTCTCTTAAGGATCGCAAAAAATCTTCTTCTGCCCTTGCAGCTACCCTTTCGGATGAATCTAGGAAACCAGTTAGTGCTCGAACAGCTATAAGAAGACTTCTGAAAGCAGGTTTAAAAGGATGTGTGTGCACGATGCGGTAACCTACCCGTGTGGAGCCTCGGGTCAAAGCTAATGAGAGAGGAAGCTTCAGTGAGNAGGCGGTGTCTGCGCCAGTAAAGTAAGTAAGTAAGTAATTTACCATTATACTAATATACAATAAAAATGAGCCCAACAAATACCCTCCACCAACGTACGGAATATGCTGAGTCATGATTGGGAAGTGTTTGTTAAGCGTCGAGATTTAAAACTGTTCAGCTACAGAAAAAATAATTATTCAACAGCTGTAATAACTATAAGTAAATATGGAACTTTAAAATTTATTTGTTAAGAGACGTAAGAATAGTTTTTTTATGCTTAAAAGTGAGTCTGGGGAAATGAAAATGCTGGAACGAAATTAAATCGGTGAAAGGTTTATTTTCTGCCTAAACTACCTAGATACGCGAGATGGGACATATAAATTGATTCTTTAAAAACTTTCACTACGAAGAGGGCGCGAACATTTCTCTACGACTTTCGTAATTAGGCAGATTAAGAAGCTTTAAACGGTTGGTATTGGAAGGAAGATTTATCGTAGGAAATCTCTTAACGCAAAAAGTAAAATTTGTTATTGAACAGACTCGGAAACTTATCGGAATGAACCTGATAATTAGCGTACCATATCAGTGAACCATATACTAATAATAGCTTCACCATTAAAGTGTTTTGGTTACATCGGGGCCTTTGAATTATTTTGGCCATCTTTTGACAAAGGCAAAAGCATATTCAGACAGTGGTATCGATATGAAGATGGATGTTGAGTTTAGGGTATATTATAACCCCCAAATCAACAAAGTTGAAGACTTGCTCTAGACTACAGTTGTTATTTGTATAAAGAGAAAGTCGAACAAGTCTTAGTGAAAGCACATGGTCTTACACTTCCTTAGGTTCAAAGGCATGTCGTTGCTACCACACCAGATAGCTAAACGTCTTTCGTCGAATGAGGTATATGACATAAAAAGCTTTATAATAATATATTCGAATGCTGTTTGGATCGTTTATGAATAATAATATGATGAAACATTAATTAATTGTGATGAAGTGTCTTTAAATGTTACCTGTTGTGATCTGTTACAGAGATACGTAGAAACCCAGTAAAGAAATCTTGGTTGAAAGCCCAGAAGCTCTAGCTTATGGATGAGAGTTGAGTGATTAATCCAATCGAACGCTTTACTGAAGTCGGTGTAGATAACGTCAGTTTGCTTATTATCTCTAAAGGCTTTAGAGATAAATGACACAAATTCAATCAAATTTATAACCGTTGATTTTAGGCGTTGTGGATATTTTTGCAATACCTCCATAATTTTCAATATTACACCTATAACTACCCTTATGCGAGGGTACTATCAAAGACTGCTTCCATATTGTAGGGAACATACCTTGTTTGAGAAAGGAATTAAAAAGTTGTGTTATTGGCAAATACAGATTCTTTGTACGACTTTTCAGAAAACATGTAGGAATCATATCTGGTCCATAACTGAAAGAATGTTTCAGATCGATCCAATGATATAATGCATCTTCCTCAAGAAGAGTTGGTGAGTTAATTATTGTTGCTGAACGTAAGAAATGCTGACAGACGGACAAGCCACTTCGACAGTTAGTTGAATAATTGGATCTAAAAATTTGTGCGAACATATTGGAAATACTATTAATGGCGTACGGAAAGGTAGAAAGCTTACGTTTGGAGTTAACAATCCACTTTTCTTGAAAGTCTTAAAAGCTTTGACTTTCTATTCTTTAAAAAACATATGTAGCTTTAAGACCAGGCTTTTTAGGTACAGATTTTTCAAAGAAAGAAAAAAGAGAAATAATGTTGCTATTAAAATGTAAGACACTTGTTTCGAATTAAGCATTTAATAAAAATTAATTTCTTCTATTTGCATAATATCTTCATCAGATTCATCAATTCTTACAGTGGTTACAATAAGCTTATGGTAAATAAAATATGATATGTATGTTCGCGACTTGTATGCTCTTCATTAGATCACAAAACGTAAGCTCTGGGTACGAATATCGCCCAAAGCGTAGACCTCTAACAGTCAATGGTAAGCTTATATTCCATCCCTGCAAAAATGTTTGAGTCATATGGTCCATTGGAGTAATGCAAAAACTGCTCCCCGTCATCAACTATTGGATCGATTTGCGTCTCGCTACCACCCTGCTGTTAGCCGAAGATTGCTCATGTTTTAAAGATAGCATATGCGCAATAAGATTTTTGTGCTGCGACTACCCATTTTACATACTCTGAAGCTAACCCTATGCTAAGCAAATTCGCCTCCAAAAACTTTTTGAGACACGTTGGGGTGAACTCTTAGATTTTCTCAGCCTTTTTTTAGGACGTATTGGAATAGATCTGTTCTTCACTGTAAGACATACAGCGAAAACTGATGGTGTTCAACTATACGTGCTGCTTTCCTTAATTCGCACAATATCGTTTCTTATGACATTAACTTTTCTGAAAGCGATATACAGCTCGACGAAATATCTTCAAAAATAATATTGTCACTTGAGAAAGTGCGTTGCGTCCGCAAACGATGTTTTGGTTTGACTGTTCCCCGACGAGTAGGTAAACAAAAAACAAATACGAAAACGATCAAACTACCGTAAATTTATTTTCATCCCGTTTTTGGATAAGTAATTTGGTGAGATTGAGACTCAGCTTCTCACTCCCCGCTTTGCTTTTGATCCACAATGGTCAAACGATGTTTCGGTAACAACTGAAGAATTCGTAGCAGAAATCGAGATGTGGCAAACGTATATTTTTATCATGTTTATGTTCGCATTTTTAACAGATATATTCATTTATACGTTCATTGAAGCTCTAACAGTTACGACTAGTCGATTCCTCTAGATTGTGGCGACACATCCCTGTTAGAGTTGCTCTTATGGAACGCTCCTTTTCAATGCTAAGAAGACTGGAAACATATTTCCGTAGCAAATACTTCTTCTCAATAATCATAGATATATAGAAATTGCTTAGAATTAAATATTTAACATAATAAAAGAAGAAAACAAGACGAATGGAACTTACTTTGTATAAGCAATTCCGAGCTTTTGGGGTAAATTACCTTATTTTGTCACATATTCTTGATTTTTGTGAGCATATTCATTTAAATTTTTTGTCAAAAATATCAAGGACAATAAAAATGTGTACACATCCTCTGTGTGCGTCTTGATAATTTTCCAACAAATGAACTAAGCCACCTCTGAATAGCTGAATATTTATGAGGAGCTTTTCTTTCATGTCGACTATATACCCGGTAGGGTTGACATTCCCTGCTTAGGGGTGACCATAAGAAAAATTAACTGAATTTTTTAGTTGGCCAGACCAGAAGTAACCTTCTAAATATCTTGATTTGAAATACCTTCTAACCAAATCAAAATCGTTTTTTCGCATGTTTTCATGATTATTGGGATCGAAATCTCATAGTTAAAATAAAAATAAAAATATTTTCTTCAGCAATTGAAAATTTGATTAGAAATGCATTTAAACTGACATCTCATATAATTATAACTATTCTTACTTTTTTTTTTTGGACCTGGTTATACCTGGTACATTTAACATTCCAAATGGTTTTATTTCAATAAGTTCTGTTTGAATTTCCATTATGTAATATGCTCTTTTACAAAGGACTTTTTAATAAGTGTATGAGTTTTCGGTAAAGCTTCGTTTCCCATCAGATAGATTTTTGTGTCAGAAATATAATACATTCACAGGGATTGGCATTGGATGGATTCATATATTCTCAAAAAATTATAAATCATAAATTAAAATGTTGAAAATTTTGAGCTCCTCGTTATACGTGTACTTTTATGCTGCAACTACCCATCTTACAGACCTTCCGTCCGTAGCAACCTATCTTATGAGAGCGACATGTAAATGAAAAGTTCTCATTGCTTGTCGATGCCGTTACTGACGGTTGTCCCGCATAAAAAACTCTTATGTTATAGAGGAAAGGTATGTTAGATGGGTAGATTCAGAATTACTGTGATAAATCCGCCAATTGTTACAATATGAAATTGTAACAGAAAAAGTAATATTAAAGTAAAAGTGTATATCACCTAGTTGAGGTAGGCGGTAAGAACCTATCTTATAACTCCCTTGGAATGTTTAGAGACTTCTCTGTATGAGTACTCAATAAAGGAAAATTCAAACGTTTGTTTTACTTTATCAGACATGAAAGTTTCACCGGAGGGTGAGGCAAGTTAAGGGCATATCCGTAAATGCTTGTCAAATTAAATTTATTATTGTTATTGTGCAGATTTTAATAAGAAATCATTATAAAGTGACGTTATAAATTACTGATCTCGTTACATATTGTATATATCATATACTTCGGATATTAGTTGAGTACTTTAAATGTTGGATCAGATGCCGACTGAAATTTTATTTGCTTATTCCCCAATGTCAAATGAATATACCATATATATATATATATATACATATATGTATATATATATATATATATATACACAAAATACAATTCATTTCAACTTCCAAAGCAGACTATTCCTAGTTTCAGCTAGATCACCTTGATCAAATTGCATTCACCTCAATCAAATAATTATATTTCTAGCTGCCATCAGCAGTTTGGAACTTCATTTCAAAATGGAAAATGTCACCTCGAATCATTACTTTTGTAGAGCATACAAAATGAAAATTTTACTTTTCAAATCTCGCTTAATTTTCATTCCACTAATTTTCTGGAGCATTTGGTGTGAAAAGTAAATGTGATAAGTTATTCAATTGAAAATAAACTTTTATAAGATCAAAGTTAGAAACTATTTAAATATTTTATTTTATTTTTCTTAAATTTTCACAAATATTAAATCAGCAAAGTACTAAGGTGTTCTTATCAGACTAGTAAGTGTTCATGGGTACTTTATAAATAACAATCGTATATATGTAAATAGAATCATATTTGTAAATGCTTCGCTTGACCTACCACATCGAGTACAATTCGAAAAACTTCGTTTTTATATCGTAATGTCTTGACAAAATTTTTGATTCATAGGGGTAATTTCCTATGCTCGTTACGTAGAGAGAGACAGATACAGGGTGAAAGAGCGCCGCTATGAGTTAGTGCAGCTTTCTTTTGATTTGTGGGTACAAGTATGTCTTGATTTGGTTCCATCACATTGAGGTAAATATAATTTTACTGCACGGTTTATACCACAAACATATCTACATATGTATCAGAGATCTGCAATGAATACTGGTGAAACTAAGCCACTATTGCAAGTGAATGACAAATTCTTCAATATCAAATATTCTTTCCATTTTACAAACTTTTAAATTTACGTTAATTTTCATATGAAAATTTATGTTCATACATATATGTATGTATGTATGTATGTGTTTTCCAGGATAGATGACGCCGAATTTCGTTTAATGGGCATGGTCGTACGTATCCTTATGCTGATAACCAGATACATAGCCTGAGGCGTCTACCAAATCCTTGCGACCAGCAATGCCCTTACCCTTGCCTGTAGCATCAAAGCGTTCTTTATGAGATCCTGTATATTTGCTGGTGTCAGTGAGACGTTCCACTGCCGATGCTGCTTTTCCTGCCTGTAAATAAGCAAATTTAAATTATTAGTACCAGATCAACACACAAACTAATAGTAAGAGATTTTCAGTGAAAGTTGAAATGCGTGCATGGAGCTTACTACTGAGCTATTTCGTCGGATGAGTGAACGCCTCACAAACTGTACCAATTACTGTGATATGGGGAAACGAATTTCACTCAAGGTGTCTCATTACCGTGTGATTGCTTTAGTTTAATGCTGGAGGAAACCTCAAGTTATGAAATTTGGAACTATTTGCCTGAACCAAAAAAATACAAATTTATCCTTAAGAAGTGTTTCTAAGAACAATCTGCTCCACGACCTCTATGCAAACGAATGTAGAATCAATTTGCAGTCGAGCTTCTCCTTCAATTTGTGATATGCGTCTTGAACCTTTAACCTTCCGCAATGAGTGTCGATACTGTCATAAATAATTCCCAGTACTGTTACTACTCTTAATAGCAAATTAATTTGGTAAGGACCGATAATTTTTCTTGATGATCAGCCAAACGAAATAGTGAATGGGTTAAAGTAATATACATGGTACGCTTGCTGGCATAAAACTTATTTTTTAAATAGCCCCAAAGAAAAAACTCAGGTACAGTTAATTATGGAAAACAAGGTGGCCACACTCCAAATCACCATATTCCGACACAACGTGTCCCGGGAACTTGTGCTGCAAAAACTGTATACTAGCGGCTGCGGTGTGGCAAGGTCGTCAGACTTTTCTCACACATTTGCGGACACACAAAGTGCACCAACATCCAACGATAGCATGCGTTTTTGAGCACACTCAGACACAAAAAATGACTATTTTGATCGTGCAGTGGTGATTCGTGAATGACGTGTGGGTTTTCTATTACCCAAAATCGACAGTTTTGTTTATCGATTCCACCGAAGAGGGTGAAATGAGCTCCATCCGTCATCAAAATTTTATCACAAAAATCTAGCTCAGCATCAATCATTCTTGCAAGCGACTTGACTTGTCCGTTGGCAACAATCTTTGAGTAAGTTGTACTTTGTATGGGAAGAGAGGAAGTTCTTGCTTCATAATTCTCCTTAGAGTCGTTCCACAAACGTTTAACTCCTGAAATCTGCGGCAATACGACACATTTGGATTATCAGCAACACTGTCTCTGACCGCTTGAATAACTTCATAGGATCATTTCGGACGGGGTCGAATGGGACGCTGGCGAGTTGCTACAGAGCCATCCTGAACAAATGGTGCATATTGACTCATGGTCGAAATAACTCTGAAAGACGTTTCAGAATGATTCCACTAAAAACCGACAGAGTTATTTAATACTGAAATACCGGCCGAAAAATGGCGCACACATTAAGTTATTTGGTTTTTATGTTTTTGTTGATATATATACTAACTAGAATATTTATAGTTTTAATTTATTAATTAAATGTTTATTTCTCACACTTCGATAAATATGGTATACTTACAGAGACTTGTAGAACACCGGGCGCTCCGCAACTCGCCATTTTCTTCTTAATTTCACTTAGTTCCACCTTTTTCGCCTTTGCTAAATCCTCAAGAAATTTATTATAATCTACCAAGGAGATCTTCGTAGCTTTGAATTTTTTAAAATGAATTCCCGTGTCGGTAGTGGTGATTTTCTTATCGATCACTTTAGCTTGTTTCATCCATTTATCACTCTGCGACAATGTAATTAATTTGCCATCAGATTTTATATCACCAAACTTAGAAAACGCTTTAAATTGATCTGAAAAACTGACTTTAGGTTCATCTTCCAATGACAATTGTGAGACTTCAGCAATTGGTGGTTCGCTGGATGGTGCTGGTGTTGTAGCTGCGGACATATTAGATCTGAAAGTAAATCTTACAATTACTCAAAGTGCAATTTATTTTTATTTATTTATGTATGTATTGTATATACATATATTATATATATGAATAAGAGTAAGTTCCCAAAATGTCTGTTCCACTCATTCGTTTGAATTCATATGTTTTTATGTTAATATAGCTTTCTAGGTTTTTTGTAGTTTTCTCATCTGGGCGCAACTACAATTACAATATTTTTTTTTTAAGACACTTAGACGACAATGGACACGCAACATCTAATTATAACCCATGCATGAATCAGCCGCCCACTATTACACCCAAATAAACTCCCAGTAGCGAATGGTAATGGTTTTATAATGAAGTAGTAAGATACATTTACTATATGCGACAACTTCCAGCATCGATTACATTTTGTACAAGGCTTGTGTCTGAAAATTCATTCATATCACTTCTCTGCCATTTTCTAACGAAGAGTTCATAGCACAGCATGGCCACTCCGTTTTAAATTGCATGGGAAATGGTAATGTGTGGAAGTCACTGCTTCATTGTAGTAGTGTGTACAACTTTCATTTCTTTTTGCTACTAAAGTAAGCCAATCTAAAACAAGCATTGATATTAAAAATCCAAACTTATTTTATTTATTCTTTAAGAATTAATATAAATAACTACGGACTTCAAAGATAATGGAACGTCAATATTCCATTTTCGCAAAACCCGAAGCAACTCATTGTAATTTTTTATTGATAATCTGTTCTCCATTCGCCATATTACTAAATGCATTTACTACTGGGTTATGATCCAATTCACTGTCTGCTTATTTTACCTGAAGCAAAGATTTTAATCAAAGCAAAGATCTCCTTTTGCGAAAGACTAACTTAGTTTTAATGTTTTTATGCTTTGATATACATAAGTGCATATCAGACAAATAATAAAGGATTTAGTTCTAGTTTGCAAATTCTATATTTGGTCAATGATAATATTACGAGTATATATCATTTAATCAATGAAATTTGGTTTTAAGATCAAATGAATAACAGACAACAGCCCGGTAAGAACATCTCAACGCAGGAAAGACTTTGATCTCATAATTTGGATGGTGTCCCTGCCCAAATGGTTGACGAAGTGTAAAAAAGTAATACATGAACACATAATTATCAAAATATATAATTACGTATTTTAGTTTTTGCATTACATACTTTGAGTATTTCAAATAATTAATTAATATCGAAAAAACTATACCCTAAACAGTTGTAAAACCGTCAGTTTTTATTCTGTTAAATTAGAAATAATAACTTCTTTGGTAACTCGTGCATATTTAAAACATTAAGGGAGAATTCTGCCTAACAATGTATACAAATCTGAAGGCATATAACACCGGTACGCGACAGAGCGATTACAGTTTCCATTTATTTTGAAAAATACGTATTTTTTTAGTTTATTTAAAGTTTAATCAAAATAGTCTATATTGGCACCCGTCTACCGCACCTGACAATCAGCTGAGTTAGTTTTACGAAAATAAACAATAGTTGTTGGTTTCTCTCTCACGTCCGTCATTAGTCGCGCCGCAAAGCAAGTTGTTATGTTCTTGGTTGGTTTAGTCATTACTCATAGTAACTTTTATGACATCATCATGTTTTTTTCATACCGAATTACAGAGACATCTTGTATAAAGTTCTATGCAAACATTCCTTACATTATAATTGGCAGTTAACTGACAAATATTATAAATTTACTTTAAACTTTTTACCTTTCCATTGTGTATTTAATATGTTATATTCTATGAATGGCTCAAACGAATTGGACTCGTTCTATATAAACCATCTGAATGAAATGTAGCCTGAATACACATACACGTATATGTGGTTTCAGATTGGTTGTATTTGTGCACTTCTTCTTGTATAATATATAAGAAGGGAAACGTGAAGATGTGCGCCAAGCTTCGAAAAGCTTTAGATGTAAGCACTAGAGAAGCTTGTCAACCTGCAGTATTTAAGTAGATTTCAAAATACCATTGCTCATCATTGATTTTCATCATTTCTTTAAGGATCTCATTGTGAGAGATAAAATACTTCATAAACTATTCTAGACAACTTCGAATTTATGGCCAGACTTAACAAAAATATAGAGGGAAGAGGTACTCTCACATATCCAAATTTGGTGGACAAATGAAAAGAACTACTATTTTTTTAACAAAAGTTAAATAAATAGAGAAAACATAAAAAAAACTTTAATTAATGGCATCAATTCGTGTACTACTAAATATAATAAACACTCAGTCCTCTAATGGTCTGAACAAATGTATTATTTACTGTGGGACAGAGAGCCTAGATGAGTTAAGTTGCATAAAATGGCAATAATTGCCGTGGCCTTAACATAATATTTCATGCTGAAAATGTTACACTTCCTTATTTAAGGGAACAGTGATGTAGAAGTTGGAAGTCATAAATTTTCAGTTTATTGCATCATAGCGGCATTGAGAAGAGGCTAATTTACGATTTAAGGCAAATAAAGCCTTATTATTATAAGCTTTAGGAATATTTTTAGTACGTTCAAGTAAAGTAAATTTTTTTGGAGCTTTCAAAATTATTAGTCTCATCAGTATTGTAAACGATGCGTACTTATTGTAGCCTATCAAATAAGAAATAGATCTAATTGGACCACAGCTACAGTAGTTCGTTCGTTCCCATAAGCTCCCATGCATTTTAATTTTGACAGCTCGTGGACTGTAGTTATTTGCGTTCACTGTAAAATCGATGAACAGTTTTCAATAAATTTGTAAAACATTATTGGGTTACATACGTACATATGTACATGTGTGTGTGTAAGTACCACACCACTGTAAATTAACTTGACTATGAATGAACCCCTTTTTTATTTTATTATATTTTATTTTTTATTTTTTTGTTGTCTATTGGAACTAGTTTTAAGTTAAGTTAAAATCTTTCTTATAGACACCCTCATTAGCCACGAACGCTTAAAACCTGGAAGTTGTTGAGCGTGCTGAAGTAGTTGTCTTAACACAAGTGCACATTACCACATGCATACACTCATATTGAGTACATACATATGTATGTATGTATATATGTAAAAAGGAAGATTGAAATAGGAACTCCTACAAATTTAACCACTAGTAATATTTTAGACCTTCCGGGAGCACTCTTTGATCACTCGCTCCCCTGCTCTATGGAACATGGTTTGGTTTCACAGTTCTTCTTTCTCTACTACAATATTTGTTTAAAAATTATAATCAATTATTTCAAATAAATAATATTTAAAATTTATTTTTATAACAAGTAGTTTTGTAATATACAAACAACACGGCTGAATAACTATTTAGTAACAGTTAATAAATCATTAATTATATATAATATAATATTATAAAAATGTAAATAAATTGTAAACTTATAAAAAATATTTGTTGCATCTGAAAAAGCTATGTAGCTTTGCTCTCAACTCCTCCCCTGGACCATCCGTATAGTGTAGCATATAAAGCAACCCCTACACCCTCTTAGTCTAGCTACGCTTTCGCTGGAGCTTGAACTAAAGGGGGTCACGCCAACAAACACCAGCCCAACTGTTAACAACACTAATCCATGGAATGATCAGTGTCAAAAAAACTGTTTAGTGTATATTTTGTATACAAGCATTTTTATGACATCATACTCACACTGCTTAATCAGAATACGGAAATAAGAATAATACAATAGCTGAACTGCGCATGTACGCAACATTGGACATACCCTGTAGGGCAATTAAAGCAATACACATTGAAAATATTAAAATACTAGAATTTGACTGAATTAAATAAATATTAAAGCATTTTTTCGCAAAAGTATTTATCAAATATTTTTGAAAAATTATCACTAGAATTTTTGCTACTATTTGCAGAGTAATTTGATAAGATTATTTTTACCAACATACATATACGGCTAAAGCGACTTCCTCAGCAATTGCAAATTTTCTAGTCTTTTTATCTTTTAATCACAATATTCCCTTTCGATTAAAATTTTGAATTTCATTAGAATTATCAATAAAACTAAGCACATTTATTTGATAATTCCGGCTATCAACGAGGTTTGCATTTCGCTTATGTCATGCACTTATAGAGACGAAATTACCTTCTGGTATAGATTTGTATGTAATTTATCAGTCAATGCAGGACGTATGCATATAAGGATGCTAAGGTATATGGAAAGTGATAAAATGCGTAATACATACATACATACCTACATATTTATGGAGAAAGAGATGCAAGTGCTGATTGCGTTTTTATCATATATACATATATATATATATATATATATATATTCAAAAGGACTGGTAAACGGGTGTGCTAATATACTTGCATATACGAATGTATGTATGCATTTCGCATAAATAGATTGCAACAAACTTATGTAGATAAATGGCGCGCGACATGACCCACTTTTGCAGATGTGCTGCAAATTCATTCCATATTCGTAAACTGTTTGTCTATTCAGCTAAATATTTTCAGCGTGAAAATGACATTTCACCGAAACTCGTAAATCAGCGGTTACAAGTAAGTCAAAAACACCTATTTTTTTAGTTATGACCAAATTTATTTACTCCCGCTATCGCATCCAGCTTGCTAAAATCCTTCGGTGCGTAATTAAATATTCAAACTTTATAGTTTATGTAAATACATACATATGTACATATGAAAATTGAATATTCAGAATGGCTTTTTTGTGCCATTCAAAAATAGCTATGAACACAAATGCATATCCGTTCTTAAACATTAAAAAAAAATCGCCCTTTTGTTTGTAAACAATTTTCACAGATGCTGGCGCCCTAATCGAAACGCAAATAAAATTTGCCTTATTTTTACTTTAGTTTTTATGAGGAATGGAATTTATTATCCGGCACTTTGAGTGATTATAAACGGATCTTTGTAAAGACACTTACACTTTTTGAAGTAAAAATTTTTGTATGAACCAGAAGCACTAAGACTTTGTTAATAATTTTATTAATTTGACTGTTACGTCTATCAATCACTCAAACTCTAGTTGTCGTGGTCGGCTCAGCTGTACTCTGCGTACTGGACAAAATTGCGAAGAAATCTGTCGCTGAACAAGGGCTATAAAGGCGCGCAATAGACGGAGGGAAAAGTGCGCAAAAGCTAAATGTTTTTACCGAGAGTTGCTTATATACATATGTATGTGCATATGTATGTGCATATGTATGTATACGCATTCATCTTCGTAAATGAGAGGCTATAAATATTTTGTACAACTTTTCAAATTTTAAATTTATTAAAATGAGACTCTCACTCACTGCTTTTGAGAGTGTTTGTAATAGGTTTGGTAACTAAATGTGTGATTAACAAAAAGATTTTAAAACATCAAGGCGCATAACATTACTCGAGGGAGTATAATTATTACTTACGTACATATGTATGCATGTAAATATGTACATTTTCTACTTCGTATTCTAAATTTTACCATTACCAGTTCTATCATTTGGTACCCAATATTTTTCGAGCGATGACTTCATTTATGCTGTATGACAACAGAACACAATAAATAGCCAAAAATTAATAAATATATAATAAGCAAATTTCTCCGTAACTAATACCATTAGCAGAGAACCCATATCATATGTGCAAATATTTATATATATGTACATACATAGCACGTATGTAAATAAATATGTATCCCAAACAATTGCTTATCAGCAAGAGAGAATGTCGCTCCCATTCACAGAAATACATAGATTTAACTTTGAGCTATTTGTATACCATTCAAGTAACAGAAGAAACCCTATTAATCCCGATATGAAGAGCATGATAATCTTGCTCGCTCGTCCGTGTTTTTTATAAATAGTTAGATATGAGCTTATTGCCACTCCCTTGAATCAACTTAGAAAACATACATACATATATATGTATATATATCTGCGTACGCCAGCGCCTGTACACTCTTATAACGGATTGTACCTTCTCTATTCAGCTAGTATTATTTTCTCTAGCGCTATAAAAAACTATAAGGATTCACATTGCCTGGTACCAGATTCCGACATAGCGGCGTAAAAAGAGCTCCTGTTAGAGCTGTCGAAGTCTGCTTGGAAATCCATTAAGAGACGGTGTGGATGGATCCTCTTCTCCAAGACTTGTTGCGTGGTGAATATTTGGTCAGTGGTTGATTTACCAGGTCTAAAGCCTCACTGATGAGGTCCCATATGTTTGTTGACTGCCGACTGTAGCAGACGCTCGATGGGATCTTATATGCGATGTCAAGGCTGTTAATCATCCTACGGCGATCGGCACCGACTGTGGGGTCCCCCTTTTTGTCGATTGGACAGAACAGACTTAGGTTTCAATCGTCGGGTATGCTATCATCCGACCATATTTCGCAAAGAAGCTGAGGCATGCACCTTATCAGTTCTTCCTCAGTATGCTCAGTGCATCAGTATATTCCGTTCTTGAAATCTTGTGCAAGTCACCGTATCTTTTCGAAGTTGTTGTGGTAGCGGTTCGCTAACCCCGCTTAGGCACATGTTTGATCAGTCTAACTCGCCGAGGTCATCTAATGAGGAAACGAGCAGTTTCAACGGGGTTGGACCGGAGGGAGAGGAGGGTTAGATGAGTTGGTTTGAGAGGGCATGTGTAGGGTGGTTAGTGTCGTGCGGAGACTCTCCACATGCAGGGCATGCGTTGGGTATGCTGGGGTCTTGTCTGGATAAATAGGAGTTTAACCTGCTACAATATCCAGGCCTAAGCAGGTCAGGTATCTTTTCGATCATTGACCTTGCCGGCCATCTCCTATAGCTCTTCATAACTCGACCGCTTTTTTGTTAGTCTACACATGCGTGGACTATATCGACATCTGATGACTCAGCCTTGGTCGTCTGCGAGAGAAAAGTTTTGCGAACCGCTTTTGAGCCTTTATTCGTTGGCAACGGTACCTACGCGAAATATAAGATGACATTGTCATATTTTAGCGAATAAAGATACGCTAGGTTATCGTTAGTTTTTACTGAATTCTGTTCAGTAAATTTCTTACTTTGAGAGAGTAAGATGTCTTACCGATCCTGGTTACTAGCTAATTCTTACAGACATTTCCCACCAAACAATTTCGTTTTGCTGAAAAAAAAGAAACCATATGACCACACATCAGCTGTTTGTCGTACCTGGATGAAATTTCCCAGCACGAATTTACAACTTTGGGAGAGATCAAAAACATAATAATACCTTGACGGCTGCGAAACCGCATCACAACAATGCAACCCTGCATTTTATATACTCGTATTTGCCTTACAACAATACTTTGCAAACTCTGACATTTTAGAACGTTTTGTGCAAATAAGTTGCTCTTCGGTGAAATGACTAAAATATAAAAAAGATCAAATCGTTTTTATTATACGGGTTTTTTGTCTCACCGAACACAATTCAGTTTAATTTGGTAACAATTGTTACAGCCCTTCAGGTCAACGAACAGAACTGATAGGTTACAAATCAGTTGCAAAGCAGCAAAGCTGTTTTACGTTCAAATCGACGATAAAGCATTCTTAAGCTGCTGAAAGCGACCAAGGTGTACCAAATGAAATTTTATGTTCGTCTAAACGGAAAAGTAAAGCTCTTTCTATATATGTATGTATGTTCGCATTTTAATCACAAAGAATCCAAGAAGTTCTAAAGTGTTCCAATAACATTTCTGGCTAATACGATGGCCTTGGAGCAATCTATTCTCTGTCAATATCGTTTCTGCCTAATTAGTGATATTTTTCCCTAATAGGATAATAGGATAATCTCCCAATACTGAATAACTTTGATATTTCTTTCTTACATTTATCATGCTAGGAGAGCAAAGGATAGATGCAGTTTGGAAAATAAGTTTATTAACGAGCATATAATTAATAATATTATATATTTATCGTCAATCGTCTCGCCAAGTAACTAGCACTTCGTCCGTTCGATAGCGTTGCGTGACGAATGATTCTTCAAAAGGCATTTGAGATCCGGAACGAAACATTTCAGCTCCAGCGTGCGCAATCATCAAGCCATTATCAATACAGTAACGTTCGTCCGTGGCAAATAGTTTGCTTCCACGTTCCTCACACATGATACGCATCATTTCTTGTAAACGCTCGTTACAGCCAACACCACCCACAATTAGTACCTGTTATGAGAAAATTATATTAAAATCATTTGAACCATTTAAACACATTTTTAAAATACCTCATTTGAACCACAGTGGGCCAATGCGCGCTCAGTAATTTCTACCAGCATTGCAAAAATCGTCTCTTGTAGGGAATAGCATAGGTCCTCTTTACTATATTCGGCTTCAGCAATGGCTGTTTCTTCCTTTTTTCGTTTATTACGCCTTTTGCTGGGATCGGCAAGATCTTCAATGTGTGAAAGAATGCCAGAGAAGCTAACGTCCATACCTATGTACATGGAGAACAAAAATAAAATTATCAAGAAGAAAGAGCTGACCTTTCATGGCTATATCAAATTTATGGCATTTCCTTTAAGTTTTCCTATTTTGATGTTTATTATATACCTACATACTTAATCGACCGTGTGTAGAATACCAAATACCTTAGATTCTTTTTTGAAGAATTAATAACCCCCAGTTTTTCAAATCAGAAAACTCGGGACATATATCTGGTATAGTGTTCCGATCCAATCGGATGATCACTTGAATACAGTAGTGAATCTGTTTTCAAGTTTGGTCGAAATATCTCAAATCTGAAAGACTGGTTTGTGTACAATCAGACGGACAGACGATCAACTCAACTCATTCTCATCATTTCTTTTTCTTCTGGTACTTACATACCTCTTCTACTTCAGACCAAAATTTTTATTTCACGTACATGGAGGGTATAAAAATGTGTTCGAACAAGCAAGAATCAATTTAGAACATTTTTATAGCATCTTCCCGGTTCACCCAACATTAATATAATAGAAGTAAATAAATGAAAATTTAATTCATACCTTTGACAACATATGGTAGTTTTACATATTGTGTTCCTTTCTTTGCCATTTGCTCAATATTATAGCCAGGACTGGGATCATTTGAGAGTTTAATAATACGTGCAAATCTGTCAAGACAATTGCCTACTGCAATATCTATCGTTTCACCAAAAATACGATATCGTTTATTAGAATAAGCAATTACTTGCGTATTGCCACCGCTAACATAAAGTACAATTGGGTTCTTTGCAGCTGTTATAAGGCGACCCATTTCTATATGTCCAATACAATGATTTACTCCCAACAATGGTTTTCCCCATAGCAAAGAAAGTGTTCTTGCTACTATTGCACCAATTAATAGTGGAGGCGCCATTCCAGGTCCTTTGGTATAACAAACAACATCCAATTCCTTTGGTTCGATATTCGCTTCTTTGAAAGCATTTTTAATTAGTTGGTGAATATTTTCTCTATGATGCTCTGCGGTTTCTTTTGGCAGAAATCCTTTGGCAAAAAAGTATTGAATTAAATATGTACGCGTATTTTGTAACTTTAACTACCTTCACCTGGTGGTGTGACATAAGTTCGTCGCACATTGGCTAAAACTTCTCCATTACGTATTATGCCAATGCCTATTTTGTTTGCACTGCCTTCTATACCAAGTGCACAAACCATTTTCGATTGCGGCCTAAATAATTTATGTTGTTTACTTTTAACACGCAAGAAGAATAAAATTCAGATGCAAGCAAATATTTTTGTTTTTGTCAACAACTTTTTCACTAAGGCTGTCACTTAAGAAAGATTGCGCTGATAATCGTCTGGTTATCGTTTTATTTGAAAAATCATCTGCCTTTTTGCTGACGTCACACTATTGAACCAAGTTTGTATGTTGAACGCAAAAATTTATGGAACATGTAGAATACTGCAGCAGAGAATGTAAAATATGGAACACCAAAGTGTGACTTATCAATGTTCAAACTGATTAAAATATTGTTAATTTAATTGAATAAAATTTAAAGGAAAGGTTGTGTTAAACAACAAAGTCCTCCTCCGTCTCTTTAACTGGCAGGTTTGGAAGAGTGGAAAAAGCTGGCTAAAATAGTTCGTGTACTTCTTCCCGTCCGATGAGGCGCGCTTATCGAATGAAATCACCACGCGGTCATCGCGCCTCGCCAGATTTGATGATTTGACTGTAGTCCAGAAGAAGTTGCCAGATAAAATTCCCCTCCCACGGGGAATGCTGCGTCGTTTATGTTTTTGAAGTTTGTTGTAATTGCACAACTATTTCTGCCTATTATCGCGGCTTTTTAATTTTCAATGTTACTTTAAGCTTGATTATGTGTAAAAAGCCGGCTAACTAGGTTTAGAAGAAATAAAACTTTCAATGAGAGTAGCACTAAACTTCGAATAGCTGAGAAAGCTGTCATATCATCGGCGATGGATTCCAAAGTTATACAACGTTGCGGATTCAAATTTGGTGAAGCAAAATAGAGGAATAAGTGGCATTACGTATGTGCTGTTGTAAGGATATTGTACCGTATGCATTCCGCACATAATAGTTATAACTATGTGATCAATAATATAAGATGTTTAATTATTTGCATTAGTTGAAGCTTAATAATAACTTCTAATGATTTTACCTTCATAATACAAAAAAAAGCCTAATCGGCTAGTGTATGTATAGAAATACATTTTATTGCTCACAAGTAATTTTAAATGATCTGCATGACCTGTCCTTAAACATATTAAAATGCAAGCGATTTATTATTTAACAAAACGATATTCTCTAACCCTGGTCTTCTTCGGCATCTTCTCCATCTTCTAATATGTGAGCTAATTTCAAAGTTCCTGCTGCTCGAATCATAGATTCTGAAGTCCCTTTAACTTTCTTCTTTGATTTCCTTTGGTGTCCAACGACATATTCCGGCATTATGACTTTTGATCCTTTTAGCCTAGGTTTATCTACCTCAGCATCCTTAAGTTCTCCATCTTCCATATCTCTTATTTGTTTTCTTATCTTAGTTGACTTCTTAAATTCAATTTTAACGTCAATATTGGAAGAAACAGCTGTCTTAATTTCTAGCTGTTCGTCCATTTGCTTTAGAAACTGGAAAGCTGCAGCAGTATTAGTATGATCTGAAATGTCCACATCTGCTAGTGAGTATTTTGTCCATTTTTGGGGGTTTATCTATTAAATACAGAAAGTTCAACATAACGCTTTCTTCTCCAACATACAAACTAGCTAAAGAATACCTTATAATCTGGCACCCTGCTTGGCTTTAAGCACTTTGATATCGGCATGTCGGGTTTCTTAAATATACTTTCCTTGCCTCGCATACGTGATAAACTTTTATCTGGCGAAACGGTTTTCTTACGAAATGTATTACGGCGATAAATCAAATCCAGAGAAGGCGTCCCCGTTTGTGTTTGGTCTAAAGCAGTTCCTGTTAATTCTTTACTGGCATTATCTAAGCAAGCAAATAAGGCGTTACGCTTCGCCTCAAAATCTTCCATTTTATTCAATCATTCCTTCCTGCTCGATTGAATTCTCTACTAGACTTTGCAGTAGTTAGTAAATGTTGAATGAAAAATGTGTTGGTCAAAACAAAACTAAAGAATATAACAATAACATCTGACCAGAGAACGTAAATGTCTCTGATCTGACACAAAAACAATCAAGACAAGACGAAAATAGTTAAAATTTCGCTTTGAGACGAATTCAGTCACAAACCTAATAGCAAGGCGAATTCATTAAATTTGCTAATACCTTGTTCGGATAGACATTGAAAACACTTTGTTACGAGTGTCCTGGGTTTTGGGCTTAGGAGTCTTCACACCGATTTTTGGATGACAAGTAAATGAAAATAATGCAAGCGTTGACATCAAAGAACCAATTCTTTACCGTTGGTAGCTATTTCACAAATTTCTAAATATTAGATGTAATATATAGGCGGTATTTACAACTTGCAAGAAATAACTTTACGGTTTGACACTGAGAGTTGGGATGCCAAAATATTCGTGTTGAACATAGGTGATTTTTTATTAATGTAGCAGTTTGAAGGAAACTATTTATCATTCTGTAAACGAACTCAACCTTTTCGGTGGAAAATCAATTGCCAATCAAATGGCTTCTTTGAGGAAAATTGTGTCAGGCTTGTGATGGTTGTTGTCGCTGTACCTAGTCTAAGTCATTGAGGTCATCAAGGGAAGTCCACGAAAATAATTGTTTAGAAGCGCTCGGAAAAGAGGGAAAGGATTGTGGGATGAGTAAGATTTAAGAGGCATACAAAGAGGTGATTAGTGTCGTGGAGGGTTCACAGGGTTCATTGCATGCAGGACAATTCGTCTGCAATAGATTGTCGTTGGATTACGCAAACGACGTTAACTGGAAAAGAGTTCAATCCTCGCAAATCGTAGATGTATTTGTCCTGCAGTGAGGAAGTGGAAAAGGCCAACGAGATATCGGTCTAAGCAGGAGTTTCAAAATAAAGAAATTAAACAGAAGAGGAAAGAGGAGACAGCCTAGTGGAGCCCCTTGTTTAATCTTAATGAGTTTCGAAGTTTAACTTCTAACCTATATCGATGGTTGTCTACCACTCAGATAGCGTAGCGAGGCACACCTCTTCAGCCCAGCGGTAATGAGGAATCCTCAACGTCTGATAGCAACACGAAATCATTTTTCTTTTGAGGTGGCCAAAGATAGATCGAGAACCTTAGTGAGATAGTCTGTTCCCGCTGGTCACAGATGTTTTGGCGTCAGCATACTTATTTAATCGGGACCGATCGATTAGACGCTTTTATCTTCCCGCTAACCCGCAGATCATCTTTCGTGTAGAAATCTAGTACTGCACTGACAGTTTGCGCAGATGCCGGTTCCGACGTGACATGGCCACCGAATGGATCAATATGACAAGAGTCGCGCCTGGAAGTTAAGACGCCGCTTCAGTAGGAAGCCTGTCGAGACATCCGGTGGCCCCCGGAACCGAAGTCGAGCAAGTATGGGCAAGTGGTCCGATAGAGGTCCTGTCGGCAGTGGTACAGAATGTCGAATCGTCTCTCTGTTCCTTTACGATTATATGACAGTAAATTATGCCAAAAATCTAGGTGCGCATCTATATCAGGTCCAAAAGGGCAAGAAGTAACTGCAGGAAGGTATACGTATATTAAATTTTTCGAGCTCGACGACGCCTGACATTCATGCCGTCGATGAGAGAATATTGCACGATGTTATGCACCATGATGTCGGTCGCGATCCTTGTGGATGATTTTTAGGCGGACGAGATCTGAAGATCTTAGCGGCCGCTCAGCTTTGTTTTTTGGATAACAGCTTTCGAAAGGTGGTTCGTTCTCACGTTGGCAGCATGAGACCCTATGTCTCCTACCGCATGTTCAGATCTTCGGCCGTATCACTGGTTTCATCTGATCGAGGAGGAAAAATGATGGAGACGCTGGTAAATACAGCAAAAATACTTAGTTGGATCAGAATTGGGTTCGGCGTCAGCCGTGAGGATAAAAACTTTAAGCAACTCAGTAAGTAGGTGTTGTTCCGTTGCTGAACTTAAACCAGTATTACCTAATGAGCTAAACCGACGAGTCGACGTAGATGTGTTTTAATTAATAGATTTTAAATGGGGAAATTCACAATTTTTAGTCCAGAAACTCATTTTTGTTAAGGAAACATTATTTTGATATCAGTCCGAACAACATTGACACTTCCAAATTTTTTAAAGTGTAATTATATGAACGGAAATGCATCACAATTAATATATGTATTGTACATCGATGTATTTCGATCTCTCTTGCTTATGGCTTCTGTCCAAATTAAGTTATGTAGTAATTACAATTCCATGTCAACCAACGAGTCAAGAACATTATCAATCAATGGCAAAGGTTACCTGCCTTTCATTGCCACATCATTTAACTACGATAGTCCAAGCAGAACCGCAACTTGCCGCTGAACTCCATGGACTTGCCGATTGTTCGAAGACGCTATTTTATTATTTGATTCACAGCTTCACGTTTGGTTTGGTTGGAGCATTTCGATAAGCTTGGCAAATTGGCCTAGCGTTACTAGTATCAAAGCAGTGTTGATCATGCCTGGTTTGTTGTCTACCTTGTCAAATATGTTGGAGTATTTATAGTTGCTGGATGGAATCGCCTTCAGTTAATTATCTGCAGTCGATTACCCCAAAGCAGTTCCTTTCGAAATGTTATTGGTGATTTGATTTTGTATTAGAAGTAAAATTCGAACCGCGATGCGTCTTTGAGTCTTTGCCAAAGTTGTACCAGTAAGTACGTCCAGTGTAGAATTTAATGCTGCCCACAATCTATATCAACCTTTGCTTAAACAACTGCTTCTGACTTTGATGGGGTTTGTTCGGTAGAGCCCAAGTGAGTATTCGTATCCACAGTTAGTATTCGTATCCACAGTTAGTATTCGCTCCTATCCATCCACATATCCGCCGATAGTGACGTTGCTTCCTTTCCGATTTGCGAGACGGAGAGTATGGGATATTCAATTGTAGGAGCCAGCATACTTCCCTATGGACTGGCACGATTTAATTCAACGACTGAATGGATGATGACTCTTCGTCAGCCTTGCGTTGCTAAGTGACAAGTAAATCAATTCCCGGCACTTATGTTTTAAGCGCATTACCAATTACAACTTTGGTCCTTGACGAGCTTCAGCGTTTTCCGCATCTCCTTCGTTATATCTATACTTTCCACCTCGACACGGTTCGCTTTGCACACTGGTTTACTTAGCAAAGTCGCCCTTTCAGAGATCTGAGGACTCGCCACATTTTAGCAAATGCCGGCTTTGGATTCGTAGTCCAATTACTTTAGTTGGCGACATTAACATTTGGAATACCGTGTGGAGCTCACAAGCCTAAAAAATCAAGCCCAAGCTCAAAAAAGTTATCTCCAACAATCGAAAACCCATCGAAATGCTAAATTCGCATTCATATCGCACAGTCATATCAACATCATCAATCATTTTGAAAAAGCAATGAACGTTAGTATGCTTTACTATATGCCTCCATATACCATATTATTTATATTTATTAGTTGAACTAACCTTATTTTTGGTGTTCGCCTTTATGATCATCTTTGATTATGTGTACCGTATATAATATTTGCGGCCTGTAGGTCAGTCCTGTTTCAACCAACACCCAAAATTTTAGAAAATTATTATTTTTTCAAAAGCGGTTGCCCTCAGCTGGTAATTTCAAGCCTTCTGAGCGTATTTCTGACAGGAAAATCAAAAGTTTCTCATTAAAATCCAATGGCCGTTCAGAGCCGGCCAACAATAATCTATAGGTCCCTCCATTCGTTGGAGAATCATCAAAGCGCGCACGCTGCAGCGGTTAAAAAGCGCCAAATTATTATTATTTTTTAATTTATAAAATTTGCAGTTACACAATGAAATATGGAATGTAAAAGTTATGCTGCACAAAGAATAAAAGCTGCAATAAGATTTGTGCACTTTCGAACATGTCATGCACAAATACATATGTATATATGTACATACATACATTCATATATGTTAGCCTGCCTTATTTCTTGATTTCTTGGATGTTGCTATTTCTATTGCGAAAAATTTTCAAAAACCCATATTTTAATATATTGTGTGAACGCAACGGACGTTTCTAAAAATTAGAGATTTGATAAAATTTGTTCCTGTTGCTACAGAAAATCTCATGAAGGAACTAAAGTTTTTTCTGTGAATGTAGTGACAAAGCGGTGGAATCCTACAGTCTAAGCTCGTGGAGAAGAATGCCAAATGTAATGAAATTGAGTATTAGGCTCATAAAGAAACTGGGATCTTTCCACTGCCATAAGATGCATCTGTCGCTGTGCAGACGCCAGTCGCGGACCGCTTAAGAGAGCAGGCATAGGAAACCCCAAACGGATATAATCAGATGACCATAACAAAGAAGTTTCCATTGCAATCGATAAGCATTGAACGCAAAAACATTCATACATACATATGTAAAGGGTGATTTTTTCAAATCTGTAGGAAATTTTTTTCAAAAAACAAAAACACATAGTACGGTCCATATAATTTAGTGTTTGAAGATTATTTCATACAAATGTTGACCGTAACTGCGCCTCAAGTGGTCCATCCGCTTAGTCCAATTTTGGCATACTCTTACCAACATTTCTGCCGGTATCTCACGAATAAATGCTTCAATGTTGTCCTCCAATACGTCAATTGAAGCGGGCTTGCCTGTATAGACATCAGATTTAACATAGCTCCACAAAAAATAGTCTAAAGGCGTTAAATCGCACGGCCTAGGCTGCTGTGAAATAAAATGTTCACCGAACTCGCCTCTCAATAAGTGGCACCGTCTTGTTAAAACCACATGTCATCCAAGTCAAGCTCTTGTATTTCGGGCAAAAAAGAGTTTGATATCATCTCACGGTAGCGCTCACCATTCACAGTAACGTTACGATTCGCATCATCTTTGAAGATGTATGGTCCAATGATGCCTATCATTAAGCCTAAATCTAGCTTTATCGCTGAACACAATTTTTTTTTGTTTTTTGAACTTTCTAAACAGAGCACGCATTTTGATAATAAAATTCAATGATTTGCAAGCGTTGTTCGTTTGTAAGACGATTCATGGTTAAATTATAGACCAATCTGAAGATGTTTGACAGAGATACAAAACACGAAACGTGCGTCAGCTGTTTAAGCCAGTGTTGCCAAAAGATAATAGCTAAAAAATCCCCCTTTAATTGATACATTCACGCTCCGCCTTGAAGGGATGATGTCATCTATTATTGTTAAGGGATTCTACATGAAGGATTTCATTTCGTTTTCGGCACAATAATCGGCACACACTAGTTTTCAATAGTTTTAATCGGGATTTTTCGCACATCTTTAATAACATTTCAAAACAAACAAGAGGGGCATTTTAGACAACTTAATTCATACAAGAAAAACACATTTTCGTTGTAATTTTGAATTTTTTATTTCCCAAATCATTATACAAAATCGAGAGAGAATGAAAAATACATGAAACCCAAGACGAGTAGAGACGACAAGATGCTGAAAGTGCCCATGGTTGATTGGGTGGTAGAAAAAGAAGGTTGATACAGTATCATAACTTTAGAGTGCCATTTAATTACTTTTCCAAGTGATACAGACTAAACATAATACAATGGTAAATAATAGCTCAATAATTTTTGTGCAGATGAAAAATTATCTTTTTGTCAGAGAATGGAAAACCGTGCAATTTTTTGTTGAAAACCCGTTTTCAAATAAGAAGCAAAATACTTTTGTGAACAGAAACCTCCTTCGATTCACTGTTTTTTAATAACATACTTACATCCCCGTATAATGCGTCTTGGTAGTCTGTGCGATTTAAAATCGGTTAAAAGCGTAGAGAAATTTATTTTGATAACTCTTTTATCGATATTTTGAAATGTTTTAATCAACACATTTGAGGCTTTTAAATAACTTCAAGCTTTGCGCTACGATGCGGCAAATATATGTAATGATTTTATTCCATTATTTATGCTAATTTCCAAACTATATAAAATGAGCTGTATCCTAATCTTCGTTTTTATCAATTGTCTGAATTGTTACGACGGAACTTTTCAAACTTACCAAAGTCAATAATCCGTTATAAACATTTACAAAATTTGTTTTAATTTTTTTATTCAAACGTTTGCGAATATTCATTTCATAATCAAGAATTTATGTATTATGTGTGAAACAATAAAGGATGTACAACCATCAATTAAATAAACATATTCGTATACGTACATATACGCCCTTATATTTTATCTTGAGGTCTATGTTATTATGTATAAATGTTTCAGTGGTCGAAATTATTTAAGAAACTAATCCACACATTCTTATTTTTTCACAAAACACTCTACATTGGTCATTGACCGTAACATTGCATACTTTTAACTTAACTTTAAAAGATTTTAACAGTAAACATTCATATTTTCTATTTATTCCCCAAATTGTGGTTTTCGAAACTTTAAAAAATAATTAACAACCTAAATTTTGAGATTTTTAATATTTTTGTATACGGATCATTAAAATTATTTATAAATTATATTCCATAAATTTTTCTATAACATTCAGTATAAATATTCAAAGCTTGTTTCATTACATTTAGCTAAAATATTTGTTTAATAGTGATTACAATTTTATGTAAAACCCGAAACTAAATAACAGACTTATTTGTTGTTGGTTTGGCTTCCTGCGCATGAGCAGATAAAGTGATGAATACCAATACGCCTGATATGAAGTTTCTGATTAAAAGACTTAATATATACATATGTATGTACATAGCTAAGTCAAGAATGATAGAACGCACAGATTACTTCAATCACGTTACCGATACTAACAGTTATGAATGCATTTATTTTGACAATCAGCTGCACACACTTTTGAATTGCAATAAAAAAGAAATGCAATAATATTTTTTGTTTATTGATATCTTGTATGAATGTATGTAATGTGCTACTATAACGTAGATTTTTAGAAGAAAAAAGTAATTGGAGCAATCTAGTATCTATCATCCTTGCAGCTAAGTTTGTTGTGTGGTTGCAATTACATACAAATTTGAGTATGAGTACATATAACCAGCGAATGCGTGCTTATATTGTACTTAGATTTCATTCCATTATAAAATACTTTAAACAAATTAGCTATAAACATATTTTACGGTTACATTGACTAGCAAAAAATTTACTAAAAAGTATACACAATATTTCTAATTTATAATAATTATATATATAATAAATGCAAACTAGACGGTAGTTTGCTTTTCCTCTTAATAAACGAAAATGCGAATATGGATATAATGAATGAGAAAAAGAAGGAAGTTATATCCAAGAATGAAGCCGCGATGGAATCTAAACGCTAAGTTTGATTTGGATTTATATATATCGGCCTCATCTAACACATAAAAAGTTTAGTTGCTACTAAGAAATATGAGCTAAATTTCAAAAAAGTTGGTTGCCTTCTGTTTACAAGCTTTTTATCGACGATGTACAGAGGAAATTGAGTGGAAATTAAAATTACGCAGTGTGATCGGCCAGAAATATAATTTTACAAAATGTCCCTTCAGACAAAATTCAGTTCTCATGACATATTGTATGTTACAATTGATTGCTTTTGAAATATAATTTGGAAAGTTTTCATTTTTTCGTGGAATTTGAAATCAATTAAACGCTGTATCTGAAGGCGCCCTTATAATGAAGTTGGTATATTGGTAGATACAAGTGTATGTATACAGATGGCATGACAGATTTCGAGATGATCCTGAGCGCAACTACATACATATTTTTATGACTACAAAATTATCATAATAATTAAAGATATTATACATACATATGTTAAGAGCTGACACTTAATAGTACTATTTATGCAATTCTTTTACCAGCAAATTCAGAAGACATTGGTATGCCCGTATAAAAACTTAATCTACTCGTTCTCCTTAGTTTTGATGGTTAATACAATAGTATATATGGCTACTACTTAGAAATGTGTATCAGTATATGTATATATATATATGTATGTCCAATCACATGAGTACATTTAAGATCTACTCTATTCCCGTTTTCTCTTTGAAAATTCGAAATCTTCGGCAAATGTACATATGTGTAAGGTTAATAAATTTAAGGAGAAACAATTTTTAGCGCATTTAAAACCATAATCGGCTGTCACTGCCGATCTAATCCGTCTGCTATTTGATCAGTCGTTCGTAAGTCAAGTAATTTATATGGTATTCATTATGTCACTATGTCACCCAAAGTATAAATAAATATAATTGCAAACTGCCAACTATCTTTAAAGACGCTGTGTTACCGTTAGTTTTTTTTTTTAAAGTAAAGCTGATCGCACTTATCATTTATTGCCCCAAAACTCGATAGTTTAACCTGATTAATGGCAAAGCATGACTTTACGATTAAGTTGCTTCAAACATTTTGGACATATTGTATTTTGCAGTAAGGGGGCACCTAAGAACTTTGATAATTAATCTCTTCTAATTATGCTCTGAAGTCGCCCCGTCACCCATAAAGAAAAAAATAAAAATAAAAAAAAAACATTTTATTATCCGTTTAGGCTTATTTAAGGTTATTAAAGCGGAATTTGCTTTAAAATAATTGCAAGAAACTTAGTAAATCTTAAAAACCCATTCTTTCTCTCAATGCAAAATAAGAGCAAAAATTTCAGCTTTTTCGGAAGTTTTTTTGATTTAGCGGTTGCTTAATTTTTTTACTACAAGTGGGCAGTTTCACAGAAAGCAGTAAATCAAAAATTCCGTGACCATTTGTAAATATTTGGTTATCTAAATTAATGAGATCTCCAACTCTTGACCTTCAAGCGCGCTTGTACAGATTGAGTGGAAACAAAAATTATAAAATTAAAGAAATGAGGCAAATTAAATTACGATAAACATATTTATGTTTTTTTAACAATAAAATAAATATATTATGATAATTTTGAGCGGACTCACTTCTTCAATATTTTATTTGTTATAATGCAACTCAAAATTTAGAAAGCAAGAGACGAATACAACCAAAAAGTTTAAAGAATTTCGTTATGAAAAAATAGTTCTTGCTTTCGCCGCAATTAAGCTACATATACATCTATTTCTCCATACTGGCAACCCTAAAATCAATTTTACTACTCTTTTTAACTATACTATAAAAATTATTATGGGGTATCAAAAGCTTTTACAATCGGTTTGATCTGTGCTTGACTAGTCGTGCTAAAGAGTATGATTGAAAATGAATTTAAATTTTAGACAAACTTTACAGCTGTTAACGGGAGCTCATGATGATGATGATTTTATATAATAGCATATCAATATATGTACATACTCGTACATACAAATACATACATATGTATTTGACGTTTCAATCGAAAATGCATGCGAATACTGCCAAGCAATTCATGCCGAAATTACTCCAACAACCATCTTCGCCGGAGGCACCTTTTTCAGCACGACGCATTTTCTTTGGATAATTCTTTGGGTTAGTTCGATCACTAAGGTGTATTGGCATTTTTGGGAATTCGGGACGTGGCGTTCGAAATTTTTCCAGCAATTGATTTTGTTCCGGCGTCAGATTTTTCAGTTTTTTACCTATAATATTATTTATGTTCATTTAAATTCCATAAATCAGCATGTAAAATAACTCTTTTATTGTACTACCTTCGATAGCGTCGTTCACTAGAGAAATTTCCACCGGATCCAATAATTCTACCCGGTCACACGCCTTACGAAATTCGTTGACATTCATTAGTAAATATCGTGGGGCATAGCAAAGTGGTCCGAGGACCCGTCGTCTGTTTTCTGCTGTTACATCAAGTTTTTTGCGCTGACACTCGGCCACACTCCAGTCCGCTAAGCAATTAAAAAGTACCAGTTCAGAGCTCAACTGTAGTGCCTCCCGCTTCGCTATCATTTCCAGTTCTTCAAAGCGCAGTTCGTTAATTTGCGGTTTATTCAACACTAATTGGGCATGCATATCGATCAATTGCAGGGAATTAATTAGCAAAGCCATGCCAAACTCCTCGGCTGTAAAGGGACTCGACTCCGGGTCTGTATTTGCATTATCACCAGCACCAGCACCAGCGGTAGTGACAGCACTGACAGTGGAGCTCGATTGTGGATGTGTCGTCTTCCGCTTTGATTTTTTATTACCACTGCTCTCTTGTGTAGTAATCACAGCACCCAATTGGTGGTGATTTGGCACCGAAATGCTTTGGTAGAACCACAGCGAACGAAATATATCGATTACAACAGCGCTGGTCAGTTGAAGGTCCAATTCACGTATGCAATGTATTACCTAAAGTATGAAAATATGCTTATTGATGATGAAACTGACCTGAGCGTCGTGTTGATCTACATTAAAATTTAATTACTTACCAAATCTGGACAATTGAAACGATCGGCCAACTCAAGTATTTTCAATATATGCAAATGATCGCGATACCGCACAAACTTAGTCTCCAAAAATCGTATGACCAATTCAAAATCGTTCTTGTTCACGTTAGAGATTTGAAAATGATTATCACCCTTGCGTCCACTGTTTGGGCCGGCTCGAATAAGTTTCGCCAACTCTACACTATTTTCCAGTACAGCCTTACGCTCGCAGCGTATCATGCAACGATCGTCGCCATTAACAACAATAAAATCGATGTAGGGACTCGGTATAACAGGCACAACAGTGGATACGTTTGTGTGTCCGTGCATTAAGAAAGCAGGTGGAGCAGTGGGAGTTACCATACTTTGAGTGCCAGCTACGTTGTGACCATCAGAGTCCAGACCAAATGGCAAAACCATTTCACTAAGCTCCGTTTGGATGAAACACAAAACTGCTGCTACGTCGTGGTCAAAATTTTTTGTATTAAGATGTGTTTGTGTGTTAACCGACGATTTTAAAGAGAAATCATCTACTGAAATCTTGAACAAATGCTTACTCGGAGTTTAAGGCAGTGATTGTTAACATAACTAAAAGTGAGTATCTGAAATAAAAAGAAGAAAATCTAGGATAAAAAAGTTGTACGGGCATGGCTAGTAATATATATGATATACTTGTATGTACGAGTATGTATTTTTTACATTTTAAAATGATTCTTTATTTCAATTTTTTTGCCCTTTTTAGAAATTGCAAACCTTTGAATTGTGGCGCGATATCAATATAAATAATTTCAATCATAACTCACAATAATCATTTGAGGCTCTGTGATTCACTTAGGCTATGGAAAACTATATACGTATAACTATTGAAAATAAGCAAAAAAACATTTACGCAAATAGTTAAACAAGCATTTATAAATTACAAAAGGTAATTTTTTATTTCGACTACAAATTCATAAGTTTTAAAAAATTAACTTATTTATCTTAGACTTTGTTCCAGGCTTTTTCATGACCACATCATATGAGGTATTATGTTAGGATTAAATAATAATTCTCATATCTGAAAAATTGGTAGGAGGAGTTTTTCGCTGATTTTCGGTGTCAAGCTTTAGTTTAAGAATACCAAATCTCAATCGTCCAGACAGCTTATTAACAGACTTTTGACCCGAAACCGCATATCTGCGCTAAGCGGTTGTATGGTGGCTGCACGGAAGCTACATCTTATAGTCGTCTGATTTCAATCATTTATTCTGACACATATGCAAATGCGGTCTAATCTGGCCGGTTCCGTCAAATGATCGTTAAAATGCACCAAAGTGACTATACGCCAAGTTTGGTTGAAATATCTCAAGAATCGAGAGACATAGCTAAATCAACTCAAGCCGTCAGTCTGACCTGAACGGCATGCATTTTGATGCCCTATCTTTTCTCCGTACGGCACTTACATATTTCAGACCAAAGGTAATATACCGTCTCATGAACCAGTGATGTTGAGAAAATTTTCCATCATTTTCAAATTCAAACCCTTAATGCTATTGTACAATTAAATGAGAATTGTTGATAAGTAGCGTTATGTAGAGGTTATGAGTGGGAAATAGAGACCAACAAATTTGTAAAAGATTTTCCGTAAATTGCTATATTGAAGGCATATTTTTATTAACCCCTAACAGACGATTCTAAGGCTTTTAAAAATACGTTATATTGAAGCTTGAAGGGAAGAGTCAAACCAGCAAACAGCCATTTCTTGTAAAGGGCTACAATTTTCATTTTAGCTATAAGGCTGTATTACTTATTGTGAGACTTCCGATGTCGAAGCAGAATAAATAACTAAATACAAATATTAATAAAATAAATATTTAAGCTCGGCTCTTTATAACTCAGTGTTGCTATGCTTAGTTCCCGTGCATATAGAGTGAATTTATTTTTTTAATAAAATTAAGATATAAAATATAATGCGTATGACAGTAATTATGTATGTCAGATATCAATAACAATTCTATTATCAGGTTAGTTCAAATTAAATGACGATTCAAATCAATTAAACTTGTAAAGAGGTTAATTCGTGCTTAACTATTTTGCGCTATTAATAGAAGACATGCTTTGTATGTATGTATGTATGTAAAATACTCACAAAAATATGTATATATGAATTTAACAGTCTGCAGGAACTTGGTCTTTAATATATATATTACTTTGTTATATATTAATCGAGTTCTCGTAAAATCATGCGTACATACATATCTAAAAACTACAGTTTGGCCGCAGTACGGTGGGAGACGGTTAAGAAAAAATTAGTTCCCTTCAATTGATGGAGAAAGCATCACTACGCCCAAAAATTATATTTATTTAGATATGTAAATAAAAAGTATTGCGTACAAAACACTGCCAGCACTGTTAATAATTATTTCGCATCATCTCGTTATGTATGTGACAGATAATTTACCTATACGAAATTTTAATCGGTGATTTTAACCTACGTTGTTCGCAATATAGCAATTTGTACGTCCTACACTGTTTAGTAAGTTTAACTAAATTAAGGGGAGTAATTGCCGTTTTGCTATTTAAAATTTAGTTGTCCATCTTTTTGTAATAAAGTTCAACAAATCATAATTTTAGTCCCATATTCAAAATAAAGAGAATAACTTAAAGTTTCTCTAAGTAAAACTTTTAGTGCAATCGCTTAATCGGTTCCTCACCTTAAGTGGTCTTTGTATAATTGTCGGAATATCTTATTTGTTAGTATACTTAAGATGATGTATTTATTTTTATTATAAGATAAACTTAAACTATATAAGGCTTAAAAGGAGCTTGGTAAATTAAAAAGATGGAAACTACAGATATAAGCGGTGAAAGTCTTTGAGAAAAAATCGAAATTACAGAACATAAAAAGCTTGATTTAAGTGGTTCGTTTCATAACGCAAACGCCACGCACGGATCGGATTAATGGCAACATCCTAGACCTAAGTTTTCTGATTTTCGAAATAGAGCCTACAACAAAGTAATCTCCGGCTCTTCAATGAGACTCTTAAGTAACGCATGGTTTGATTTCATAAAGTTATAGTAAATAATTTTTATCTCTATATAGCGAATTATGCCAGACTTATATTATTTACTATATTATTATATACCATACAATCTTTTCTTTGATAATATAATTCTTACTTGATTTAATTCTTTCATTCAATTTGCCACAAGTTTTTAGGTCGATTTGTCCTCCATTTGTTGGAAGAGCATTCCTTGCCGATGACCCCAAATGTTTAAACATCTAAATTTTCTTAAGCAATTTACTGAATTTTGAATTCAATTACCTTATTGTTATTCTTACGTTTTAAAATACTTTTCTTAGCCGTATATACAATAATATGGAACTAGGTTCGAACTCAGATATGAAACGTACTTTAAACTTCAAAAATCTTTAAATTACATACATTGGAAATTCACAAATTTTCTGTATCTAGCATCTCTGAAACTTCTTTTCGTACATGTAATACGGACGAAATGTCCAAATAATTTCTGAAATATCATGACTGTTCCGTAATGATAAATTTTCGTTAATCGAAAAATTTCTGTCGTTTTTGCTGAATATTAACGTTAAAGCTGGATAACTAAAATTTCTTTTAATTTTTACTTGAAACTAAAAGCTGTCGTTAATGTTACATCGTTAACAGATTATGTTAACCGTAAAACCTGAAGTGTGCTGTTACAATAAATCAAAGCAAGCCGTTTTAAAATTAACGTTAACGATGAGTTCGATTTATTTTCCTTGTTAGCGAACGGAATGATATCGTTGCGTTTACTGAGCATCTATGTATTAGAATGTTTTTCTTGGACTGGGAAATGCTTTCAATACAAATATTTCCTACGAAAATTTATTTTTATATAATTTTATTTCTGCAATCTGTGGGTTTGTGTTTCGTATTGTATTTTTTTGCATAAATTTCCAAGTGTCAAAATAAATCTATTATGTTTTAATAAAATCGAAATGAAAGTTGTGCAAAATGGTGTAACAAAATCTTAAGCCATAACTCATATTAACAAATTTTGGAATATTAAATAAGCGATTGTAACAGATTTTCGTTAAAAAATCTGAACCATAAAAGGTTAGTCTGAATTGTATCTACACCCAAACGGTCGGTTCGGTTGGTATTACTATCGGTCTCTTGTAAATTGAATATATTCAAATTAGGTCCTTATTAAATGCCATAAGAAGCATCTGACGCTGCGGAGCGCCAATCGCATGTCGCTAAAGGGTGCAGTGACGATAATAATTTATGCATTTTTCCATTCGTTTTCCATCATTTGAAGCATTCAGTGCAAGTTTTAGCCAATAAGAAGTATGGCTCAATGGCATTTTGTGAACAAAACGAAAATTACTTAAATTAAACATTATTTAGAAGATTTTCGATTATTTATATATTTTTATTTTAATTGACATTTTAATTATATGGTAAAGGTAAGAATAATTTTAGAAACATTAAATATCGCCTATAGCAAAAATTGTTGTCACCGAATGGCTTACTCATTTGAATAGAGGCTAAAAATAAACTGAAATTGATTAACATACATATTAAAATTTAAAAGCTTGTATTTCGATTAGCAATTTATGTCTTCTAAATAAAAATTTTAGAATTTAGATATCTTTATTACAAGTATAAAAAATCAGCAAACAAGAAAATCACTGAATTACTTTTTACAATGGGTGCTAATTTAATTTAAAGTGTATATATTAATATACATATTTACTTCGTTCATAAATATCGGTTTTATATTTGTGTGTGTTGAGAGCAGAGATGGTAATAGCAGCAGCATTGTTACGCTGCCCTTTCCCCTACGAACTAAAAACTTCGGCAGAAGCATTGCCTTGTCTAAACTTATCCCTAAAATAAAGTTTTCATTTATTTCTAATACCTCACATTTCCTAAATTTGTTTGCGTTTTTTTAATACTTTATCTCATACAAATATATAATATAATGAAGGCTTAAATGAATATTAGTATTATCGTTCGTAATGTTTTTTGATTAATATAAATAATTTTGGTACATTTCGTTTAAAAAAAATACATAAAATTATTAAATATGGCCTGTGGGGTAAGCTAGAATAATTCTCGAATTCCATATGAAATAATAATGACTTTTTTGGTTAACAATTTTTCATATTTCCAAAACTTTTATTTATTTAAATGAGATTATAATGTGTGAATCGTATTTCTTTTTTAATAAATTTGAAGGAAAAGTTTTAATAACATCGAAAAGTAAGGAACTTGCCCTTTTGGAAATTGAGTTATCTGTATTTTCTCTGGTCGAAATTTCATTGTCGTGTCGAGCTTGTGCCTAGTCTATTTTTGAAAATTGGCTACATTATGCACTGTCTGGGATATAAAAGTCGGGTGTGAGTTGTCCTCTCATTCTGAGTGTTGGTATGGCCAGAAATCAAGCCCGTAGGCTTTTGCATAGTAGAAAGTAGTACTAATAACTCGGCTAGTAATGTTATAGTTGAATAAAATTTTGAAGAGTTGAATGTGGAAAACCAACCAGGGTTCGAGTCCTAGTCTGACCAACATCCAAAAGTCAAAGAAAATAAATTTAAATAAAAAATGTCTACCCATAATATTACAATAAATAAAGACTCCTCAAAAAAAACCATCAGCGGTTACAAATTTCAATTTCATTTCGTTTCATATACACTCTGTTGCAATATTATAAGGCCGATCAAAAATTAGCTGTTACTAGTAACCAGTGAGTATTTTAAAGAAACTTTTTTCTAAGTAACTTGAGCATTGGCAACTCTGATACTGTGAAAGCAAATTGTGAGACCTATGTAACTGTAAAACTTTAGATTTCGAAAAGAAAACGCGTTAAACACGTATTGCAGAATTATTAGAACGCTGCTTTTAGTGAAAATTCTCCTAAAATTTTTATTTTACTTGAATTAAAAATTAAAAATAATTATTATTTCGAATTCCTGAAGGAAAGAAGCTGCCGAAGTTTGAAAGAGGACAGATTACAGACTTAAGAAGTGAAGGGCTTGGAGTTGACTCCATTTCGTCTAAAACTGGTCATAGCCACTATGTGGTGTCAAATTAAAAAAAAAAAAAAAAAAAAACAGATGTCTACGGTACCAAAAATAATGCAGCCTATTGAAGGAATTCGTTGGGCTCCGGTTATACAGAAAGCAGCGAGCCTCTGTTTTCCTTCCAATGCCTTTTGATATGAGACCTTTGATCGTGGTCCACATAGCATATACAATTACTCGGAGATACAAGGTGTGATTATTTAGTACCAGTTCGACTTCGTTCAGTTTCGGAGGCTTCCATGTAGAAGTTTCGTGAAGAACATTTTTGTTTCTGAGTTTTTCTCTGAATTGGCTAGAGTCGTTTCATTCCTCAAATCTGTAGTTAATGTTACTCAAGAAGACAGTGGGTGTAAAAGACTATTGGATAACATCATTTAAAACGCATTACTTGTTTACAATTTTTAAGTTTTCCTTCTCTTTTATAGCCGGTCTATAATCTTTGAAATAGGTTTTTTTTTTACTTTTTTATGGAAAAAATTTGATAGGCACTGGAAACTGCTTATTTATGCTTTTTTTTTAAGATTCCAAAGCATATTCGTGAGTTAGAAACGTAGAAACGTCATTATGATCATTATAATTAAAGACTTCCAAATATCTAAAGACAGTGAGATCAATATACACATACATATGTAAAACTCTAAATGAATAGTTAAGCTCGTAGTAGATGATTCTTTGCCAATCCAATCCGCTTCAGAAACCGGTCGATTTAGTTGCAATTCATCAGCGATTCGCAGATGGAAATTCGGTCCATAATTTTTTTTTGCGTTAGTACGTGTGGCACACAAACATCGAGCTTCTTTTTGAATCTAAGGTTATGCAAATGGTTCCAAACGGTTTTCTTGCTTATCTTTAGTTCCTCAACAATTAAATAGGTGCTCACATGACGGTCTGTTTCCACTATTTCCATGATTTATCGCAATTTTCGACGACAGGCCTCCCGACGCGTGGTGCATTTTTGACATCGAGATTACCGGAACGGAACCTAGCAAACTTTGTGCTACACGTTCGTTTACAGTGTCGGGCCCAAAAACTAAAATAATTTTTTTAACCGCTTTGGCTGTTTTTTCGCCTTGATCGAAGAAAAATTATAAAATATAGCGAATTTTCTCTTTGTTGGTGTCCACGTTTGACGAGCGCGCACAACGTACTGAGGCAGTCAATCGAAAAACTGCCAAAAACAAACTTTTAGCGGATATAAACACGTTTTCAGTATAGTCCTAGTATATATATATATATATGTATATTCGTGAATATAATTCTAGAATACAGAGAGATATAGTCATGAAATATTCTGATATCGTCAGGGAGAGCAGACTCTCCTACGAACTCAAAAAACAATTAACAATACTCACACTCCTTTTGTGGTTATAAAGTCGACTAATTATGTCCACAATTAGTTCAATATTTTTCTATCATTTTCTTTTATGTTGTACCACTGATGGATTGATTTTCGTTAGCGCTTTTAAGCTTTTAAGAGATATAGGAGCGATAAGAGAGTAAATATTTACTTCTTACTGCTTTCGTTTCGAAAAGGATCTCGCCCGTAATTTGGATTTCACGTTATTCGATTAAAAGACTTTAGCTAGAAAAGTCCAGCAATTGCGAGCTGACTGCAAGGGTATGTTTACTAGGGTTCAACTTTTTTAAAATTCATTTTATCTACATTATGTTTCTTAATATTCTCTATAATGCTAATTATACTATTTCGTAGTTAGTAAACATGATAACTGCTCCTTGCTTTTAATAAACGTATGTTGTTTTATTACCAAATCACGCTTTAAATATCGTGCAACTCACTTTTTGGATTTGTTTTTATTATTTTCTTCGTTTTTTTTTGCATTCAAAGTTATGACCGTTTAAATTTTAAAATTTCGCTGAACTCACATACTATAAAGATGTTTGGTATTTGGTGGTTAACTAGCGTTCTTTTAAACAAAAAAATTAACCTTATAGATTTTTACACTCCGAACGCGTTGTTGATAAGAACTCAATTCGCTCATAACTTGAGTTAGGCGATTACGACTGCAAATCACTGCTAATATTATTGAACTTCCCACAATAACTTTATTTCACAGCCACACATGCTTTTAAATAAATTGAGAAAGGTGATAATTTTATTTATTTTCGATTTAAGAACGTATAAATTACTTTTCAAACGTAGCGTTCTGCTCGATGCAAGTTCTGAATGTCTACTAGTGGTTTAGGCGACTTTTTTCGATCTGAACGTCGATATGCCACCCTCCAAATAATTTTTGCTTTTGCTGTATTTACATATGTACATTGAGGCAGATAAAGAAAAACTTTAATTAGTAATGTACATAAATACGAGCGAGTGCGATTTCCGTAAGCGAAATCCTAGGCAGTTATGACGACACGCTACCAACAACATAAAGTAGCGCCAAATTATGTATCCGTACATACATGGTTTATGTGTTGACATTTATGTTATATGATTTTCCAACAGACGACAACTACTGTTATTATTCTCACAGTTACATATATATATTTGTATTTACTATCATCATATATTATATATTAATTTTTACGCTTTATCTACTCATAATTAAAAAAAAAAACGCTCTTAAATATTACCATTATGAATATACTCACTCGTACATAATGCAGTTTAAACTGCCTTCATCATTTCAGAGCACATTTTCTGCAACAGCAAGGAAGATTGATTATTATGGAATAGCTGAAGCCTGGGATTAAAGCTTGTCATAACACTCAAATTCCCTTACTATTTGATTGTCAAAACTCCGACCGTGCAGCGGATAACTTGATTAAAGCTTAGATGCATATATAGTTTACTAAAATGGCTTTATTAACAACATATCAATTAATTTTGTAATAGTAACCAACACTGCTTAGAATCTTCCAAGAGTTGTGGTTTCTGGTGAATATCGATCAAACTTGCTCATTTCAAACGAGCTTTTATCATAGTCAAAAGCTCATGCAATATAAAATCATCACGTTCTGTTGATATCTTTACAATTATTACTCGATCCTTTGTATGTAGCAGAATAACTCATAAGCTTATGAGTAGAATATAATGAAATTTTACCAGATTTATTTTAGCACTTCGGCGCACAGTTGTGAAAGAAAGGTATTGAAGTAAGATGCTTATAAAAATCGTAAGGAACTAGTATAATTATAACAGCAAAATAGTATTTTCCTGTGACTTTTCGCCGATTTCTTCATCCAACATTCAGTACTAATTGCAGCCCTTCACTCATTTCGTCATATACGACCCGGATGGGATTTAAGTCAAGAGAGCACGCCGGCCATTCCATTGTTTCAACTGATTAATCAGTCGAAAATTGCCTTGGGAAAATAGTAGTGCGAAGGTTGTTTGCCAAAACTTCATTCGATGAGATGTAAATTGTTTTTCGAGCTTTCCACAACATCTTTTCTGAAATTGCGTTTGCGTTTAAAAAAGCAAAGAGGGCACTTTCGTAAACCTCTCCCATGAAACTCAAAACAATAAGGCCCATTAAAATTCAAATTCCACATTTTCCCGACTGAGAAAATAACCTTGACGAGTACAACAAATCGAGAGAAACAGAGGAACTTTAGTATCAAGACCAATATCTTGTGCAGTGGTAAAAGAGGTTATTTTGTCAATTTTGATAGCCTCTCGCCAGTATCCTTCCGAATTTAAGACAATATAATTCCTTGGGCTCTGTAAAAAATTTCGGATCATGCACCGACCGATCAACTTGATAATATTTTGCCCCATTCTTCACTTCATAGTACTTTTCCTCGCAGCATTTTATTTTATCGTTCAAACAAAATCGCGGTTTGCAGTGTAAAACACACTCTGAACTCCCGTCATATCATTATGAAACAACAACATGTGTCACGAGCCATATAAAATTGATACTAAATGATTTTTTGACATATAAAAAAATCCTAAAAGTTTTACTTTTCTTTATTTTAAAAGCAAAAGTCAAAAATCTTTATATAGTAAGTCAGACACCTAATATTCAAACAAAACCGTGAAACTATTTTGCAATAGTACGAGTGTATAGCGACTTTGGTAGCCAAGTGGTTAGCGTTGCGTACTACCATTCGGAAGGCTCTGGTTCAAATCCTCGTGTCGAACTAACATCCAAAAAGTTATGGAAAATTAATATACATAAATAAAAAATGAAGCTAAATTTTCTAATTGCGGTCGCCCTCGGCAGGGAATGTCAACCCCTCCGAGTGTATTTCTTACATGAAATAAAGCTTATCATAAAAACCTACCTTTAGGAGGGGGCTTAGTATAAACTGTAGGTTCTCCATCATCTGTTGGAAAAAACCACAAATTGGATTAAGAGCTCGGCCGAATATAGCGGTTACAAAGTGCCAATTCCATATATAATAGTACATACATATGTATAATGACACAAGAAAAAGAATGCAGACTTTTTTTAATAAATGTAATATACATATATATATATGTATGTACAAAAGTAATAGAAATAATAAAGTGTCTTATGATTCTGAAACGCACCTTATTTGTATAAGTTTTTTGCATTGCCGTCAATAAATTTATTGTACGAAATTATCTGCCATAGATAGAATATTTATATTGATATTAATAGATAAAGGAACCCCTCTTGCACTCTTTATGATGAGACATAGCCCTTAATTGTAAATATATACGAGTATATATCAAATACAAAAGTAGTTGTGTACACACATACATATGTGGACGCGCCAAAGTTCAATTTAAAAAGCCGGCCTCCGAGCGAGATAACATTTGTAAACAATGAACATTTTAAAGGCTCAAGTTTATTTTTATCTATCTACAGATATGTACATATGTAAGTATATATGTGACTATCTTTCATATAACTTTAATTGTAATAAGTCGAAAATACGTTTTTATAGTTCCACTCTTTACTGGTACAGGAAAGCCCTTAGATCATTATTTTTCTTATTTTAATTGTCCATTTTAACGCATACATACATATATACATGCATAAGTATGTAATTTCCCATATGACAATTGAAATAAACTATAGTATATTTAATGTAATAACTTTGTTATCTCCAACTTTTTTAAATGTAATCAATATTATTTTCAAGGGGGGGTCGCGATAGTGCATTCTATTTATTTTCGAAAAACCAAGGCCAATAAATCTTGGATTTCCCTAGCCCAAGATAACAAAGCTTAAGCTTATTGACGTTCACAAATTGGTCTGAAATTGGCTGGAAATTATTCGGCCCAGTCACGGCGGTTACTTGCCCGAAATCATTTTTAAAACATAATGGCAAACCCTAATCTTTATAGCAAAGCAAAATTCTTGGCCATAACATGAAGTATTATTTTTTCTTGAACACCACATGTCTAAAAAAGCACAGTTTATAACTAAGAAAGAAATATAAAAGACGATTGTTATAATCACTCGTTCCAGCCGAAATCGACAACTGATCTGTTGGCCAGATCAGTGGTAATTATATCGGGTAGTATGGACAAAGAAATAAGTTAAATATAAAATTGTAAACAAATTATGTGAGTATTTAAATAACTACTTAAGCTTAAAATAAATAAATATTTAATATGTATGCAAGTATGGTACAATAGCTGTCGTAACAGCTACCGTACCAATGTAATATAATTAAATTATGAGCACAGAAAATTCAAATTACTAAACCAAACACCGATTCCCTGCGTCGTCTACAAATATGGCCAAAATGGTAAAATATGTTTATTTCCAATTCCTATTGACACATTTCCAATTAGCACGATTTCTGCGTTGACATTTTGACTCAGACGCGTCTGCATAGTTCTGTATAAGTATATATATATAAATGTATATATATATATAAATGGATATATGTATGTGTGAATTTCGATATTCCATAATTTGATTACTTTTGAGGCGGATTTACCGGCGTGAGTAAAATAGTCATGGAATTACTACTAGCGATATTTTGAAAAACAGGGATAATACATAATATTATATTAAAAAGTCTATATTTTGAAACAAAAAAAAACGATATTCTCAAGTATGATTTTCTTGTTTGTCACAAATTCTTCAAAAACTATGAATAAAATACACTAAATAACTTTTCGTTTCAACGTCTAGCTAATGCCTTCAAATCGACGCAGTCTAATGTATCGGCACACGTTGAAATATCAATTTGTAAGATAATAAACTTAATGTTGCTTATAGCTTTGTCGCTTTGCATTGATCGCTCGAAATCGGGTAAAATTATTTGACAGTTGTAATTACGATAAGTAGAATAAATGTACATATTTGCAGCTACAGTTAGCATTTATATTGAATTATGTAAACAAGCATTTATACTGATTTTCGTATGAAGATTAATTTTTATGCAGATACACATTCATTATTATACATTAAGACCAGAAAGCTTCTGGAAATTATCATTTAAACTGCACGCGCAAAATATTTTTCAGCTTTTTTTTTTGTTAAGTTGGTGGCAATGTCCTGCATTACAATGATAAAAATGAGGGCGATCTGTGGACCAGTTTGTTTGCAGCAGCTGTTGAAATCAGTCGACCTCAGTTCCTTCTGCGAATTATCGTTTACGGCCTCAATCAAGTAGAAACGGTGGTTGATCGGTGGTACTGAAAGAGTTTTTGGTCTTAAGAGACTCTAAGCATGACTATAAAAACAGTTATGAAGTTTCAGGGGAATCGAAGAATATGGT